TCCCCACTTATCAAGTATGCTGTACAGGAATTGTGGACAGAAATTTGGTTAAGTGTTGACAGAGTTGCGGACCGCACTATTTTAGTTGCTACAGCAAAAGTGCTCTGCAGCCACACAAATGACTTGCGGACCGCACAAATGGAAAAGGAAAAATGACAACTCTCTGAAGTTGGTTTGTCAGAGAAATGCTCGATCTGCGGCCGCAATATAAAATCTACGGTCTGCAATAGTGATCTGCGGTCACACACAAATTTTTGCGGACCGCAGACAAAATATTAGTTTAAGCTCAACAGGTAACAAAGTGCGGTCCGCAATTGGAATTCTACGGCCGCACTCGTTCCTTTTTCTCTTAGAAAAGTCGATAAGTATAAATAAGAGGCTTGAGGCTACTGTTACACTTTTCCATCTCTGAGGATTCACAACTCTAAAACTGAAATCTTCTGCTAAATCATCTACCCACACACTCAACAACTGTGATCACTCATTTCTTGCTCTACTTCATATCTAGTATGCCTCAATTACTTGTTAGAATTTTTCAATTTTTAGTTTAATTTACAGCTTTTTAGTTAGTTTTAGGCCATTTGTCAGTAGAATTCAATTATACAACCATGTGGGGTTAAAACTGTAGTGGGTCAACTGGTTCATGCTCTATGGGGAATGGTAAATTGGCTTTTATGCTTATACGCCGTTACCATGTCAAAATTTGTGCAAAAATTACAAGCCCTAGAACTTTGTTTGTGATTGTTTTGAAATCTACGGCCGCATAAGAAATTGTGCGGTCCGCAGAAGTTGAATCTAGGGTACTTAGTAAGGAAGGGTTCTGCGACCGCAATAAAATTGTGCGGACTACAGAAATCCCATTGCGGCGGCAGAACAACTCTTTTCTGTTATCAAAGAGTTGTTAATTTGATACTCCCATGTGCGGCTGCAAGAAAATTGTGCGGATCGCAGAATTTCCATTGCGGCTGCAAAATAGCTATTTCACCATCTTCAGAGAGTATGCTTGTGTGTACTTTAATGTGCGGCCGCAATAGAAAATGTGCACCACAATCCACATTTGCGGCTGCAAGGGAAAATTGTGCGGTCCGCAAGGCCCAATCTGCGGCTGCAGGAATAAATGTGTAGACCCCAGATCTTTAACCTGCAAGCATGTCTCACCTGTGTTCTTCACTGTGTTTAATGGTGTGCTCTTGTCTGTTTGAAATTGAATTGCAACTAACAACTGCCTTTGCTTGGTACAGAACATGGTTCAATCTAGAGGCAGAGACGACACTTCCAAAGGGAGGGGTGAACCTTCCAGGAGTCGAGGCAAGATTGCTTTACCCCTCTCCCTACAAAAGATAATCACAAATAAGGTTACAGCCCACCGAGGGAGAGGTGCAGAGCCCTCCGAGTCAAGCTCTTATGTCCCGTCTAGGGAAGCATCAGAGGGCAACTTAGTTCAAGAGAAACCGGCTGTCTAGTCAAAGCCGCCAGGAAGATATCAACTCAGGGATGAGTCGTCCACATCTCAGAGCACTTCTGAGGGTTCGAAAAGTTCTTGTCAGGCTTCTGAGCCATCCTCTACACCTGTCCTTGAGGCACCAGATACTACTGTTGATGACATCCCCGATGATGGTAGAGGGGGAGATGCTACAGCTGCCGACCTTGAAAGGTCGAAGAAGAAACAGTTCTAGGAAGACTAGTTTGTGAGTTTGGCTGCCTTCACCAGCTTCGCACTTGGTGGCCAGTGATTTCACTCACTCTGAAGTGACGATTTCAGTTGAATGACCTGGAGAGGTATAACCCTGCAGTTTTGAGATAGTTTAGAGAACGCAAAGGGTGGATGTGGTTTACCCAGAGCGTGGTGGATGCTAAGTAGTACCTTGTCCGGTAATTCTACGCAAATGTGGCGCACACCAAGAAGGGGACAAAGGTAACAAAAGTAAGAAACCTCAAGGTGCAATTTGATTAGCACACGTTGAACACATATTTGGGTTTTGATGATGTCGAGCCCACAGAGTACTTAGAGAAGTGTGCACTTAGGGATGCAGCTCGTCCTTGGTTTACAGAGATGCTAGCTGCACCTAGACCACCACCACCATGGATCACATCAGGGGTGCCCATCCAGAGGAGCACCCTGAGTTTCGAGGCAAAGGGTAGTAGCGGAGGTAGCTGACGTTCCATCCTCTTTGGCTGAGCCTTCCTCTAGTGCCGCAGCCATGCCTCCCCCATCATCTTCAATGCCCACTGCAGTCCCTGTCATAGGTTCTACCTCGGCTTTGAAGTCGTGTCCATGCCTACTGTTCCACTTTCTGCGTTGCGAGTCTCCCAGACACTGGCGAGCCTCAACAGGAATTACTACCTAACTATCCTAATAAAACAAACAAAAATATTTTTGGTGCTTTTAATAGGACCTTAATCCCTCAAGAAAGTTGTTAGAGAGATCCATCGTCGGGAAAAGCCCGAGCTTTTTCTGATTTTTCTATATTTTTTGTTTTTCTCAATAACAGTCTACAACTCTAAACTAGACCACTTCTAACTACGGATTATATATATAATAAGATATAATAATGAGAAAAAGTTTTTATACAATTACACTCAGAAAGTAGATCCCCCACCCCACACTTATGTGATGCATAGTCCTCGATACATATAGGAAACCAAAACAAAAGTAAGGTGGGGAAAAAAACTCCCTGCTACTCGAACCCATCCGGGCCATACTCTGAACCTTCATCTTTAGAACGTCCACTAACCAAAGCTTCAGGCTCATTATCATCTGCCCAAGGGGTACCAAAGCCATTGGCCCCGTGACTTCAACATCTACATCATTCTCATCATCTAATCCCTTGTTGGTGTTCTCATCCTCCGATAGGTGAATTGGTATGGGTTATTATAAGGGTGAAAAGGGCATCTGGGTCGGGGTCAAAGGGTCAATGGGTTAATTTAAAAGTAAAAATCAAAAAAAAAAAATTTACTTGGACCCCAAGTCCTAGCGCGTCGCGCTAATGCAGTGTTGGCTGGGGGAAATTGATCTATTTTTTGGGCGCCAAGCAGTGCGCCGCGCTGGCCTGCACGCTGGTTTTTGGTTTTTTTTAATGAATCCCCGATCCTCCCGAGCATTTTGTACATCCATTATACACATTCTACACCACTGCTTCCGCCGATATCTGTGGCTACAAAGAAAAATAAAAACTCTAGTCTACTCTAACATGGTTAAACAACCTTTAGTCACCTTGAACACCTCCGTGTTTGATGTCCCTTCTCAATCAGTGGATTCGTTTGGGGTGTTTGAAGGGGAAGCTGGGCAGCTTTTGTTGTCAACAGGAAATAATAATGAGGTAATACAGGCAAATTTGAGGTTGATGGCTATTAAATCCAAGCTGTGGCAAGATCAACGCGAGGAAGATGATGAAGAGGACTGGGGGGATGGATTTGCAGGATATTCATCTGAAGAAGGTGGATAGGAGGTTGATCAGGAGAGTGCAAGTGAGAATATTGATCCTCCAGTAAAGCCAAAATTTCGTGGGGCAACATCATCAAGTCCCAAGAGTAAATTGAATCTCCATGCACCTGCCTTCATTCCCAGAAATTCTCCAATTGTTGGTAATCAAAATGCAGCAGCTGGATGCTTGGTCCAAGCAGTAACATCTTCCAAGCAAGCTACACTAGGTGGTCCTGACGTGCAGCAGCAACAACTGAATCCAAGAAAATCAGCTAGTACTTCTACTGGTGATCGAAAGGCAGCAGTAACGGTAAGAACTGGACAACAGCAAATTGTGACAACACTGACTGATATCTCAGAAGAAGAAAGGAAACTCTTGGATGCAATGGTAAGTGCTAATCCTGTAAAATCTTTAAATACTTTTGCTGGCAGCACTAGTCGTGAAAGTAGAGGCAGAAAAAAATTGCAAGTCACAGCTCAACAACAACAAAAGGAAATATTGGCAAATACTAAGGACGGAAACACCTTGGTGACACAAGGTCTTGATCAAGATTTTCCAAATCTAGTGCTTGCGAGCAGAGATTTATTTGCAGAGGGGGAGGAAGATGAAATTCTAAGTCAAAGCCGGGCAGTGGCAGCAAGAAAAGGTGATCTATCACCTATGCATAGCGGCAAAAGAAAGAAGTCACATACAAGAGAAAAAAGTTGGGACGACAGAGTGAATGAAGATGCAAATGTAAGGCGACTCCCAATGAGAGTTGCCAAACACAAGCAGATTATCCAAACTACATCTACAAAGTCCAATCGTTCGAAGAAAAAAGCATGAATTTTGAAGACATTTTGAAAAGAGTTGTGGATGAAGACAAGCATCTACAAATTGAAGATTTTACAAGATTAGAGAAAAGAGAGCAACATGGTTGTTTCTTCATCTTTTTATTCTATCATCACATTAGTATAGTTCTATGTAATATCATCACAGAGTATGTTATAAACTCTGTGATGATCATAGAATACTTAGTTTTAGCTAGTTCCTTCTTTTTACATGCATGCTAGTAGGTGAGGCTTTTTTTTATTTGCCTCAATAGGATTAGTAAGGTAAGGTTTAGCCTAGTCTGTGTTGCACTGGTCCTATGCCTTTGGAATGATATCCAAGTGGCCATGAGATTATATGCCCTCGTGAGACTTTGCCGGCAGCTACACCATGATTCCTCTACATGAGGCTACCATATGGGCATTGTGAGGCGCAGAGGAGTGATTATATGGCCAAGGCATAGAGGCAATGCTACTAGTGCTATTGTCCCCCTTATTTGTACTCGTCCTATGTGGTTCCTTTTTTTTTTGTTCCTTTTCAGTTATTAATAAAATTAGCCCTAGGCACCTGCCTAGTGGATTGCTTAAAAAAAAAATAAAAGGAGAAAACTAATCTACAAAAGCAATAAAGATTGGGTTGCCTCCCAACAAGCACCTGATTTAACGTCACGGCACGACGCATGGCCTCGCTTACTATCGGCAAGTAGTACTTTGGACTTCTGGCGATCAACGACGCCTCCCTAATAGTGCTTGACTCTTTGCCCATTCACCAAAAATTATCTTCACCATTTAAAGCACGCAACTCGATTGCACCGTATGGGGTGACTCTAACCGCCTTAAATTGACCTGACCACCTCGATTTTACCTTTCCAGGAAATAGCTTGAGTTTGAAACTGAACAATATTTCCATTTGTCCTAGTTTAATGTGACGAGGCTTGATACGCCTGTCATGCCATCTTTTGGTTTCCTCCTTATACAGCTTAGCATTTTCGTAGGAGTGCAACCTAAACTCATCGAACTCATTCAGCTGCAAGAGCCTCTTCTCGCCTGTAGCTTCCAAGTCCATATTCAACTTTTTGACCGCCCAATACGCCTTATGTTCAAGTTTAACCGGCAAGTGACATGACTTCCCATATACAAGCTTGTATGGAGATGCCCTAATTGGTGTTTTGTATGCAGTCATATATGCCCACAAGGCATCATCTAACTTTGCAACCCAATCTTTCATGTTCACACTTACTGTTTTCTCTAGTATCTGCTTTATTTCTCTGTTGGACACTTCATCTTATCCACTTATTTGCAGATGATATGTAGTTCAACTCTATGGCGGACCTCATATTTGGCTAGAAGGTTATTCAACAACCGATTGCAGAAATGTGTTCCTTCATCACTGATCAAAGCACATGGAGTCCCAAACCTGGAGAATATGTTCTTTTTCACAAAAGTGGCCACCACCTTGGCATCATTGGTTGGCACTGCAACAACTTCCACCCATTTGGACACGTATTCCACCGCTAGCAAAATGTACTTGTTTCCTCTATAATGGAAATGGTCCCATGGAGTCTATGCCCCATACATAAAAATCTCCACCTCTAAGATATTGTTCAAAGGCATCTCATGCCTCCTCAATAATGTTTCTGTTCTCTGACGCTGGTCACACTTCTTAACAAATGCATGGGCATCCTTGAACAACGTTGGGCAATAGAACCCCGACTACAACACCTTTGCAACCGTCCTATCGCTTCCATGATAGACCCTATAAGGCTAGGCATGGCAGTTATACAACACTAGTTCCACCTCTTTTTCCGGATGCATCTCCTCATCATTTGGTCAGTATATTGTCTGTACAAGAATGGCTCATCCCAGTAGTAAAAGTTTGCATCATGCAAAAATCTCTTCCTGACCTCAGGTTGGATTTCAGGAGGAAGAACTCCACTCATAAGATAGTTTACATATTCCACGTACCATGGGTCAAGGTCATGGGTGATGGAAAAAAGTTGCTCATCCGGGAATGTCTCCTTAATTTGTCCACCTTCCTCCACGTGCTCATGATTTTTCAGCCGCAATAGGTGGTCAACCACTTGGTTTTTTTGTGCCCTTCCAATCTCATATTTGTACATCAAATTCCTGCAACAACAAAACGCAGCGCTACAATCTAGATTTGGATTCTCTTTTCGAAAATAGATACCCGATCGCTGCATGATCGGTGTGGACTATGACTTTTGTTCCCACCAAGTAAGCCCTAAATTTCTCAAAGGCCCACACAACTACCAACTGCTCCTTCCCAGTGGTGGTGTAATTTAGTTGTGCCTCATCAAGAGTAGAACATCTTGTCCTTTCTCTTGGATAGCACTTCCCCAATAGCATGGTCACTTACATCACACATAAGTTCAAATGACAAGGACTAATCAGGTGTCACTATGATGGGGGCAGACCAACTTCTCCTTAAGCTCCTCGAACGCCTTCAGACAAGCTTCATCAAATTTGAATGTCACATCCTTTTCGAGCAACCTGCACAATGGAGTAGCAATTTTAGAAACCTGTATGTCCCAAGAAACTCTGGACACCCTTCACAAAGATGGGTGGAGGCAATTTTGCAACTACCTCCACCTTCGCGTTATCAACTTCAATTCCGCTCTTCGATACTCTTTGACCCAAACCGATGCCCTCTTGCACCATAAAATGGCACTTTTCCCAATTTTGCACCAAATTCGTTTCTTCACAGCGTGCCAACACTTGGCCAAATTCTTCAAGAAATCATCATAAGAAGACCCAAAGATTGAAAAGTCATCCATGAAGACTTCTACAAAGTTTTCCACCAAATCAGTGAAAATCGCCATCATGCACCTTTGAAAAGTGGTCGGTGCATTACAAAGGCCGAATGGCATTTTCTTGAAAGAAAAAGTACCATAAGGGCACGTGAAGGTCATTTTCTCCTGATACTCCAGGGCTATGACAATCTGGTTGTACCCCGAATAACCTTCAAGGAAGCAATAATACTGTTATGGGCGGCTTTCCAACTATGCCCCATGACCCCTTGGGCGCGCCCCGTGGTGTCCTAGCAAGCCTCCCAATTCTTAGCGCCACGGACGGCCCTGTGGTCTTGGCCGCGCCAAGCGACAAGCGCGCATGTTCCTCTATTTCCCCACCAATATCCCTCGCCAGCGCCCAGCCGCAGGCAGATGCCAACAGCGCCACGCACGCAGACAACACCGCGCGCGCAGACCGTGATGCCAAAGACAATGCTGCTGACAACAGACTTGCTTCTGCCTTGTAGAAAACTAAGTCCTTTTCATTGTAAATATAGAGTATTTTTATTTCATGTACTTCCATTATGTTTCTCTAGCTTAGTCAAGTCTAATCTTGTAGCTTTGGTTTATTTTTTTAAGCATTATTTGGGGGGATCAAGCAATCAAACTTTCTAGCAAGCAAACAATTCTCTGTATTGGTGTCTCTCCCCCTCGACATCGTGTTGCTTTTCTGTAATAGCTTTCATTAATGCAATCAAGCTTTCTTTCATTCTCAATTCTCATTTTTGTTCTCTCAATTGCTCTTGGCATTGGTTTTCCCGTACGACACTGACAATCTCGTCTAGCGTACGGAGGGGACCTCAGTTGGCAGACGTTAACTGCACTAACATTAGTTGCTTAGCCTTACATCGTCCTTCCAAGGAATCTCAGGAAGGCACAGCGTAACAGTTGGTATCAGAGCCTAGGCTCGACATCGGACGAGGGAACGCATTGCCAATACCACCATTTCTGACCATGGTGAATCATGGGGACCGCATTATGGCCCTTGAAGAGACGGTTGATGTATTATGGCCCATCGTGGATATGGTGCCTGAACTAAGAACCAGCCTAGTGCAAAGGTTAGATGACTTGGACCGCGGAGTGCTCCAGGCCGAAGTTGACATTTAAAATATCAGTCGCGACTCCGGGGGAGACCGGCAAACGGCAGCCACAGAGGCAGCCAAAATTTTTGGCAAATTCGAGGGACTCCAACAAGAGCGTGCCGAGGATTTAGCGTACAGGGCACAAAAGGCAGACAGGGTGTCTGCCATGCAACAAACTATTGAGAACTTGACAGACCAGCTCAATGTTGTCAATGCTGCTTTACAGGGACTGCTTTGAGGAGGTGGAAACCAAATCGGGGGCGCTGTGAACCCCGCTTCCGCGACGCAAAAACTGAAAATTCCTGAGCCAAAGCCATACAGTGGAGCTAGGAGTGCCAAGGAAGTGGAAAACTTCATCTTTCGCATCGAACAATACTTTGATGCTGTTGGGGGGCTAGAAGAAGCTAAGAAGGTAGCAACTGCTGCCATGTATCTTCTGGGTGATGCTAAACTCTGGTGGCGGGTGAAGTACGAAGCCATCAGGGCCGGTGAAGATGCTCTCGAGACATGGGCAGAACTGAAGGTAGCCATACGCCTACAGTTCTTCCCCGAAAATGTTGAATACAACACAAGGAGAAAGCTACGGGAGCTCCGCCAGACCAAATCAGTATGGGACTACGTGCGGGAATTCTCCACGCTCATGCTAAACATAAGTGACATGGGGGGGACAAAGAAAAGCTCTTCACCTTCCTAGAAATGTTGAAACCTTATGCCCGTATGGAGCTGCAAAGACAAAGGGTAGATACCCTACCCAAGGCGATTCAAGCAGCTGAATGCCTTGGGGACTATCAAGTGGAAGCTCGGAAGGATAGGCCTCAGCCACCTGCCCGAGCGGGATTCAAAGGGGGCCAGCCTAGCAATGGTGGCCTTAGCAGAAGTGGGGGAGATCGGAGTATAACCAAATCTAAGGCTCCCTCCTCAGGCGGCAGCAGTGCTGCGTCAAACAACAATGACCGGGGGAGAAAGCCTCCTTCAGGATGCAGTCATTGCGGCGGACTACATTGGAACAATGAGTGACCACATGCACAGATGAACGCCGATCAGGCTTTTGATGATGGGACAGATGATGCGAACCAGACTGAACCAGTAGGTGCCTTCAATGCAATTGTTGGCTCTATTTCTGAGGCATTAGCGGAGACTAGTGCTGGTATCCGTAAGAAGAAGGACCTAGGTCCAATCAACAAGAAAGGGAAAAAGAAGGCGGATGAGGGGAACAAGAGAGGACCTTGATGTTCGTCGAGATGAAGGTGAATGGTGTTTACCGTGAAAATGGTAATAACAATTAAATTTGATTTTGTGAGGTTCTAAAATACGTGATCTATTTTTTTGCTAGTTGTTAAGTAGTTGATGCTATATGAAAGACTTAGAAGCGAGATAAGAGCTTAAAAATGAGATATTAACCAAACTGAATCACTGTCAATCGGGGCCTCGAGATTGCTTATTCGGGGCCTCGAGGTCGAGTCGGATGCTCGGCTGGGAGCTATCGAGGGTAGCCGATGGGCGACTAACAGTTTTAATAAGATCAATGACGGCTCTTTATAGACTATAATAAGCAATAAATGAAGAATAAAAAATAGAACACAATGAATGTAAGCAGTAAATGAAGCAATGAACTCAAGAGAATATGTTAGAGAGCAGAGAGAATGTTCTTGTGGATATAGTATTGAGTATCAGGTCTGTACAAATGACAAGGATTCCCCTTTATATATGAGGGGGAACATAATACAAGATACATTAATTACAAAGATATGGGGCAGATATAGCCACCTAATGCCCTGATACGGATCAGGGCTAGACATCTAGGTTCTGTTAGCCTCAGTCGTGCGCCTAGGGAATTTTCCACTTTTTTATCATAGCTGTCAACTTGCAGCGTCTCGAGGTTGGGCATCGATGTCCCTTCAGGGTGAATCTCGACCGTAGTCCCGAGCCTTTGGAGAGCTTTGCTTAAGAGGCGCTATAGTGGCCGAAAATCGGACCCTCCGATTTTACTGTATACAGATAGTCCCTGCATTTCTTAGAGTGGAGCGATAAGAAACGAATTTGATACCCATCTCTCTGAACTTCCCGCAATGATGTCATACTTATGATGTAAGCCTTTGCGATAACTGAGGCATCCAGGCGGTTCATCTTTTCAGAGTCATTCACTACGCTGTCGATTCTTGTTCTTCAAAGCAATAGTGTCGCTGCTGGTCCAGCTCCCAAGGATGCATTGATTGCGCCTGTCGATACGTCTTTCGAAGACGAAAAATGGCACCGTCGGCTATGCTGCCGCCCTTTCTATAGATAGGAGCCTCTTGGAGCCAGCTTTTTATTCAAGCGTCTTCCAACATCTTTCC